TGGTTAGATCCGAAACGAGGGAGGATGTCTCACGGACTGCGTCAACTAGAAAGTCGTAGTAAAGCCAAACGGCCACAGAACAAAGGGAATCGGCCGTTGGCTTATGGGGAGATCAACCAACGAATCTATTTCTCACATACACACAAACGAATTGAGGGTCTCCACAACAAAGTTTATAGTAATGTATATGAGGTGAATTCATTCAATTTGGTTAAAGGTGATGAGGGGACTAGTGGTTGAATTTTCCCACAATGATATGAGTAGACCTTACGTCTCCATTTAATTTCGCATAGCCTTACTTTTCCAAAAGGTATTCTCGACCTTAACTAAGTCGGGACCCAGGCGGGACTCGAATCATGATAGTGCAACGTATAATCTCGACACGATGACCACTACGCCACATTGCCACGAGTGCTCTTCGGTCACAGGACAGAGGTGAATTTACAGGAAGGTCAGGCACTTTACCGTTACACATTCTGTGATGGGATCGTCGATGAAGGAATCGACTGCATTACTTATTTTTCGTATATAAGTAGGCTTTCGAGGCTACCAGTAAATTATATAGTCAACTATCAGTCGCCATATCAATTTAAACGTAATAGGGTAAGTACACCTCATGTCTATTATCTGCTGGTAGTCTTGAAGCCTACTTATAAAGGAATAATGTATAGTAATGTCTCTGCTTTTGATAGTAAGAATAAAATTTTATATGCAAGTTGCCTGGCTTCCTCACACCTGCCCTGTGACCCAGTTGCACCCGTGGATATGGAGCCATGGGTTTGACAAACACAAAGCGGATTTAGATCTAACTACGCATGAGTAAGCCTCTTGAGAGACCAAGTTTAATGAAATGTAATGGCGTCACGTTGTCTCCTGGCAATTTTATGATTGTAGAAATCTAATAATCTATCCTTACATCACACTTGACCATGTGGGCTGACAAGAATTATTTTATAATAGCTAGGAATTCTTATAGCAAGACATGAGAACACATGTCAGCTGCTGAGATATCTAATAAAATGCATCCTCATCCTCACTATCTCTAAGGGAATTCCTTACAAAATCGGACACTTGCCCTCCTCTTTGGGTTTAATGCATACGATCTCTCCCTCGGCAAAACTGTTAATTAGGCTGCAAGTATGCAGACTAGAATGCCAATTAAAACTTAAATCTGCCCTTCACCGGGAAAAGAAGTATGGTGGTCAGTTGCTAGTGTTATCCGGACACAGTTGACAAGGCATAACGATACAGTGTTGCCAAGGCAACCGAGAATACCAGTAGTCAGTCGGGCGTCCTGGGATCTGGCCGACTGTACTGAGAGACGAGTAAGAGAGCATGAAGCAGACGTTCCAAAGCACCCTTGTGTTTGCAAGTGGCCTTGCTTGCACTCTTATTGTGCACTCTTCTCATCTTCGACAGTGCTGGCTCCACAAAAACGGAGCTGAGGCCAGCCCACGAAGGGTTCTATGGCGTACCGATTGTCGAACTGGTTGTTGAGGCGTCGAGGGTTCAGGGAGATGGACTCTCCTGCGGACAGTGTCGTGACAAGAGTGTTGCAGTCATAGAAATCTTGTCCCACAGAGAGTGAATTATCTGAAGAAAGATGAAGGGAACCTGGCCTGGAAAGGGAAATTCGACGTAGACGTCTTGGTGCCCTGCTTAAAATGAATGAATTGTACATAAGGTGGATGTTCTGACAAACTGTACATTGTGGAGTCTAGAATCTGGGCGGGTATGATAAAATGGAGGCCAGTCAAACTGGTACGGTCATATCGTGCCTGAATATATTCTTTCCCGAGTCACTTGTTCCCAGCAGAATGGTGTTACAGACTAGATTGACTCAGCAACCGAGAGTAAAAGAGACGAAAAAAAAAAAATTAAGTATATAGTAAACCTCACCGGTTGTCAAATCCACGAATGCATCCAAACCCATTGAAAAAAACCGGGTTTCTAAGATTCCCTTAGTGACATATTGTGACATGAATTTCCATTTATAAGGAAAAGTTGGTTGGAAGAAATTCATAAAATGGTCTCATCGGAAAAGAAAAAAGTCATCGGCTCACCGTCCTGTGACTCTGAAGAACCTATGCTAAGTTTTCGTCTATCCTCTCGTGACAGGCATCATCAAAGCAAGAATCCATACTTTTCGAAATTGCGTAAAATTAGGAGAAAAGATGGCCGGATGCAATCCTAGTCACTCATTATACCTTCTCCTTTGGTCTAGTATATTCTTGCTCTATTTCATAAAGTGTGGATTCTTGCCCTGATCACGTATGTCACGGTGGTACAGATGAAAGGACTTCTTCGCACAATTCAACAATCTTCACTCCGCAACAATCCATCTTTGCTCACCGGTGAGATCATTTCACGAATTCCTTCCAACCAAATTTTCTTTCGAAATGGAAAGCCATATCAAAATAAATCCCTAAGGAATTCTTCGAACGCCAGCCTTTCTCCATAAATTATTATCCAGACTTTCATTTCGTATGCGAAAGAGCTTCGCGGGTCGGCTTACAAGCAAGGAGAAGCAAGCACAAACACACAAGTTAAAGTATACAGATTAGCAAGAAAAGGAACTATATACATATATATTTACGAAGAAAAGTTGTTTCATAATTGTTGAGTTTACTTCCATTTCGAGTAAAAGTATTTGGTGAAGAGATTCGAAGGTCGATTCCACTAGAAGACGACGGCGGATTCCT